TGAAGGCTCTTTAAGGCTCCTGGTTGTTGTACTGTACGCTGTTACTCATTTTTTTTGGAACGGTATTGGTAACTCCAAGTTGACGATCATGAGCATGCCAGATCTGCAAGAGGAGTTGAAACGAAGCCATGGTGATGTTCAGGTCGACAAGCTGAAGCATGGGAAGGTTACCTCCAAGGAAAAACTCGAGGACCTGTTCCATTGGAACGCTCATCGGCCCAGAATGCAACGGAATCTGCATCACAGGCTAATCGACGGCAAGGAGCGTGGAAAGCAAATTTCACATTTGGTCTCGATTCCACGTCTACCATCGAGGAATTGCAGGAAATTGCATTGCAGGTAAAGGAGAAAGAAGGAGCTGGAGGCCATACGTTCTTGCTGGACTCTGGTGCTAATATCTCCATGGAAAAATTCCTGAGGAAGTTGCAACGTCTGGCAGGAAGCGACACTGTCAGGGAGGCTCTGGTCCTGACGCAAGTGAAGTTTCCGCGAGCAAGCGCCTCCAATTGGAATTTCCACCTTCCTCGGTCCAAGGCCTGACATCTGGAGATCAACGGGAGGATACAGGAGAGCATCGGTTGAGGGATGATACCGAATATGTGCCTGACGGTGCAATGTCTCCAGTTCCTCCAGCAGGCAATCGAGATGTCGAAGTTCTTGTAAATGGTCAAGTAGAGCAAGGCAAAATTTTGCAGATGGTTTTCAAGGAGGGAAAGTTTCTCGCGCGGATTGTTTTCCCAACTCTCGAAAATTACTGGGTGTTACGGTCTGTCACTGATCCTGACATCAAGTTTTTGGAACAAACCGAACAGAAGGCAATGGTGGTGCTTACAAGTGGGGAGACAATATCAGAGGTCTGCATGTTAGCAGATTATTACTCGTGCAGCTTTCCACCGAACGTCTTTGGTGATATGACCGACCATACCAAAGTTTTTAAACCCTGTCTTGATCGTGCAGCGGATGAGATCATGGATGTTGTCGAAGCTACAGTTGGGGGTTCGCCTGAAGTGGTTGTACTTTCCCAGCACAAGCAATTTTCGCAGTGTCTGCAAGTTACAGATATTGTGCAGGGGTCGACTGAATCTGAAGAGATCTTGTATGTTTGGGACAGGGGGGAAGACAGGACAAGCCTTCAGCCAGCATCCCAGCGTTTTGTTCCAGTATGGAGGGATGAGATGTACAAAACTCGTTTACAGCATGTCGATCCTGTGTCATCTGCCCCACAGGTCAGTGCTAATGTGGACCCTACTTTCAGGGATACGCGTCTTCTTGTGGCGAATCTAGCGTTGGTCTCTCCCGTATGGGACGCGGTGGAGCTGGCGTCTGACCTGTTATCTCTGATGTCTCCCGACGGTGACAATCCAGCTGCAATGCCTGAGAATCAGGCAGATTACGCTATGACAGCGGCTTGCGATGCAGGAAATGTGGAAAACGAAAGTAGTTTTGACAAGTTACCAGATCCCAAGACAAGGTCAGAGATGTTACGTCGTCCGGATCGGCATCTTTGGGAGCAGGCTGAAAAGGAGGAAATTGCGAAGATCGTAAGTCGTGGGGTCTGGGAAGTTGTTACGCGTGATCAGAAAAACAGGGAGTCAAATCAATCTGTCCTTGCTCGCGGCTTGTGGGTCTATGCTTCAAAACGAGACTTGAAGGGCAAGATCTTGAAACGAAAGGGGCGGCTAGTTATCATGGGCAACTTACTTCCTTCATCTGAAGAATTGTTTGCACCGACTACATCGTTGGACAATATCCGGCTCTTGCTGAGCATCGCGGCAGGCAACCGTTGGAGAATCACATTCAGGGATATCTCTGCTGCTTTCTTGTATGGTGACTTGGAGGTTCCTGTGTATTTGATTCCTCCAGATATCATGAGTCTTCCTCCTGAGTGCCTCCTCAAAGTCTTGAAGTCGCTCTATGGACTTCGCATTGCACCAAGGAGATGGTATCTTAAGTTCACGCAGGTGTTGAAGACGGTGGGAGCAAGTGGGATAGGACATGATGAGATCATCTACCGATACTCCAACTGTGCGGGGGACGTCTTGCTTCTGACTGTCTTCGTGGATGACTTACTCATTGTCTCTCAAACTGAAGCAGTTAAGATTGAGTTTCTTGAGAAGCTCAACACAGTATTCGACTTTTCGGGGAGTGAGGCAACAGGTACCTTCTTGGGCATTAAAATAGAACAGAATGACGATCAGGGTCGGATAACTTTGTCACAACAGCATTTCATTGAAAAGATTGTTGAACGCTTTGAAATCGTTGCCAGGGGTGTCAAAACGGTATTACCTGGTCACTATCTCAAGACTTATCACTTGGAGGGTAAGTTGTTGAACAAGAAGGAAGTCCGCACTTATCAGAGTCTTCTGGGGTCCATTCTCTACGTGGCAAATTGTACGCGGGTTGATATCGCATTCGCGACGAGCGTCCTTAGTCGCTTTGCTCGTGCTCCTCGGCAGTGTGATATGGATGCCTTAATTCATCTTCTACAGTACCTTTACACTACTCGGGAGGTTCAGATCGTATACCATTGTCACGGAGTATATTACCACCAGGAGTGTTTTGTCAATGAGATGATTGCATTCAGTGATGCTGGTTGGGGTACCGAGATTATTACGAGACGGAGTCAAAGCGGATATGGAATCGTTCTGAATGGTGGGGTAGTCGTCTTTGGTTCGAAAATGCAGAAGGTTGTTGCCCTGAGTTCTTCAGAAGCTGAAATTTATGCTGCCACCACATGCGCGAAACTAGTCAAGCTTTATAGAAATCTCTTGGGTCAGATGGGATTTACGCAGACTCGTCCTACTCTCTTGCTAATCGACAATGAACCATGTCTGAGGCTTTTGTGGGACAAGCGAAGTTATAGTCGACTCAAACACATTGATATTCGAACGAAGTATGCTGTTGATTTGGTAGAAAAGGACGAGCTCTATCCAGAAAAGATTCATACTTCTTATCAGCCTGGTGATTTGCTGACGAAAGTTCTGCCTTTGAATCGGTGGAGGCTCCTTGGTGAATTTCTCTTCGGAGACCCCTTACCGGATATGCTGCTCTGAGGATGCTCGCCTGTCATGCTCTCTGCGCTTCTGTCGGGGACAGTGCTACTCTGTTCCCATGCCGTCAGTCGCCAAAGTTGTATGCCCCGTGTGTGATTGACGGTGATCCGAGCTCCAGTCTCCGACAAGGAGATTCAACCGATCCTGCTGCGGTGGCTTCCAGGCTTTATCTTCCGTCTTTTCTCCGATTCAGGGAGGGTGTCTCGGACCCTTGCCACCGAGTCCGTGTCGCTCGAGAATTGTCAGTCTTCCGTCTTCTATCCGATTCAGGGAGGGTGTCTCGGGTGATGTCACCGAGGAGACTCTCATGGAGAACGTGAAGGAATCGGATGAATCGGAAGGAGGATAAAGACAGACACGTCTTCCTCAAGCCTGTGGCTAGCTGCAACCAAGACATCTGTTCTAGGTTAGTATCTTAGAAACTCGCTCATCCTGATCTATGGAACCCATGACGGTAGTGAACGATGAAATTGAATGGCCAAAAATGAAAATTGAGAAAGAAATGACGGATGAGTCGAGATCGATAAGTCATGTGGTTGAAATGAAAGCGCTGACGTCAAAAATGATTGTGCCTTGGCAAAACAATGATCCCCGGGGTAGATAGGATAGAAAGGGCCCATAGATTAGAAACGAGAAAATTGTGTTCAAAACAATCAGAGATCAATCAAGGAATTGCAAGAATTCTGAACCTGATCTCTGGAGCTTGATTGGAATTCTAAATTCTTGGCATCATCAATGGGTGGAGACGTCTTCATTCAATTGCTCAATGTGCACGCTTCAGAGAGGTCACATGATGACCAATCCCATCATGAGGATCAGGTTGAAGAGGAGGAGGAGCTGTCTGACTTGAAAGATGCAGATGTGTTCAGGACTTAGTCTTGAGCTGACACTGCAGGCAGCTAGGAAGAGTTTATGATGGAAGATGAGGAGGAGCACAGGTGCATGCGGACAGCGCAGGCGGATGAGGAGCGTCTCTAGTGGCATGCGGATGGTACAAGCTGAGTGCACGAGCATCAGGATGCGCTAGAGGAGGACGGCGCAGGTGCTGCAGGAGTGCTGCTGAAGCGCAAGCGCTGGAGGAGCAGCGCAGGCCCTACGATGGTGGGGAGAAGCCGCAGCGCAGGTGGAGGAGCAGCACAGGTGCACTGTTGGCGGGGTGCGACTGCACTGCATCCGCAGCGCAAGCGGAGGAGGAGCGCAGGTGTCACAGGAGGAGAAACGCAGGTGCACCAGGGTGCACACTTGAAGCGAAGGAGGAGCGCAGGAGGCATGCAAGATGGGGGATGAGCCTGTGCAGAACGGTTGATGGAGTGGTAGCAGCAAGATGACCTTGGAGAGGAGAGCAGCATGGAAGTCAGCTTGTAAAGCTTGAGCGAGCGTTGGAAAGGAGGACATCGCAAGGGACAGCTGCTTAGCTGTTAAGCAGATGATTTTGACAAGCTGAGAAGGTTGCAGACTTCTGACTTGCTTCCCAAAGGGAGGGTGTAAGAACTCAGGTTCTGACAAACCTCTCAGAAGTTCTTTCAGACGCGATAAGTTCAAGGGATGCGTCTAATCAGGTTGTGAACCAAGTGAAGCCTGCAGGTCCAAGCTAGTGGGCTGGAGCTTAGTCTGTGACTTAGAAGATCCGGTTGGTTGGAGCCTGGGGAAGCTGAGGCGGCGCCGGAGGAATCAAGAGGCGCCGGCTGTCGAAGAGGCAGCACTCGTACAGTGGTGGAAGTAAGGCGGTGGTGTGTGAAGGGAAGCTGTTTGGTTGGTCTTGCTGCTACGAGTGTTGGGAATAAAGTGCTGGGGATTGTTGGGAAGTTGATCTGAGTTATCTGAGGTGTTTGGTTGGCTGTGAAAGTCATTGGTGTCTTCGTGCGCACATCATCTGTGAGTCTTGGTCTTTGGACTTATCAGTCAGCTGTTGAGCTGTTCTACTAGTCATTCATCTGTGCACAGACTCTAGGAGTCAGGAATTGATTCCAATAAAGGGACCTTGTGATACCCCTTGGTACATCGACAATCCCTCTCCATTGTGCTCCTTGGACTTGATGCCGAGTGATCGCAACAATCGTGACACCTCCACATGCCTGTTGCATTCCCATATGTATTCATGGGGCAATCCGTGCATGCCGTATTCCCATGCCCCATCGAGTACTCCCCCATCTGACAATCATGGCAAAGCGATGACCCTGTAGCATTCACAAAGCTGCCCGCGGGGCAGTCGCGACATGCATAGGACCCGGCAGCACCTGCATAGCTGCCCGCGGGGCAGGGGACACACCGGGGCATCCCCATGGCATCCCCGTAGCTGCCCAGGGGGCAAGGGCTGCAGGCGGTGGAGCCATCCCCCGATGAGTACTCCCCAATCCCACACTCATAACACCCAGACAGCCCCGTATCATTCCCAAAGCTGCCCTCGGGGCAGGGGACACACCGGGGCATCCCCATGGCATCCCCGTAGCTGCCCAGGGGGCAAGGGCTGCAGGCGGTGGAGCCATCCCCCGATGAGTACTCCCCAATCCCACACTCATAACACCCAGACAGCCCCGTATCATTCCCAAAGCTGCCCGCGGGGCATTTGTATCCCGGGACGTCAATGCAGCCATGAATATTTTACTCTGTTTCAGGGCACTCCCTGGAAGGCCTGGATTTCTGCAAAGACCATCGTATCATCACCCTCAGTAGTCGTTGACTATTGGGGGTCATCAAGAGAAACATTCATTTGTTCGCTCTTGGTGGGTATGCTCCCGATGGGGGTACATACCATAGCCTGTAGACTTCAAACTTTTTGAGATCTCGAAATCTTTTTTAGTTTGTCGTTTATAGGTTATTCCTGCTTGTTGCTTTAATATTGTGTGGCATGTTTGTAGAAGGGGACAATCTCAACCCAAATCCAAGGAAACATGGGGGGCGGGGCATTGTTTTTTATTCCATGCTCTACTGCACGATGCTATCGTTAGTGATCAGCATAAGGTTCATCTATGACATGGACTATCGGTTCCAATCGGCGATCGATCCCAGGCCCCTGTCCATGGGGCCGGGCATGTGCGGCCCACTCCCGGGGGGCAACTGTGGGGAACCGGATGTTTCACAGAACATTTCGCTGCGCCTGATCGTGTTGACGATGGACCGGGTTGGATCGCTGAGGAGGTTATTGAAGTCATTGCAGGGTGCGGAGTACAATGGGGACAGGGTGGACCTGGACATATGGGTGGACCGAAAGCCGGATGGAGACATGGACCAGGATGTATGGGCGGAGGCCGATGGGTGCGAGTGGGGACATGGGGGCAAGGCGGTGCATGTCCAGGGCACCAATGTTGGGCTGTACAGCCAATGGGTCCACAGCTGGAACCGATCCGTGGTGGGGGGCCTCCATCCGTGGTGGGGGACGACATGGAGGTCTCGGGCTTCTTTTGGATGTGGTTGAAGGCCGCCCATGCTGCTGTAGAGGGCAGGGGTGATGTTGCGGGGATAGCCCTGAACAGGGCCCACCTCTGTGCACGCTTCTGTGATGACCTCGATGGGGGCCCCGTGCTGGACGGCGAGAACTTCCTGTACCCAATCATAGGGACATGGGGGTACAGCCCCAGGGTAAAGAGCTGGATCGGTTTCACCGAGTTTGCCGAGGGGATGAGGGCCCGCGGCGAACATCCATACGTGGATGGGATCGTGCCCGGGCAGTGGTATCGCGATTTCCAGAGGGATGGGAGATGCCCGGGGAAGCGGTGCTTCTGGGAGATCTATCACCTGAGATATACCTCCGAGCACACCGATCGGAAGACATTGTATGTGAAGTGCCCCGATGGGAAGACGATGGGGTTGAATCATCAGGAGAGGGGCCTGCATTTCGATGGGTCTCAGAAGATCCCGATGGATTTATTGGATCGATGGGATGATAAGCTAATCGACTTTCGAGAGCTATGGGAGGTCGGCCTGGATGGGAGATTGATCAGTTAGTGGCTAACAACTAAGTGACACAAAGTTCGAGGAGATCTCAAGCCTTGTGTCTCAAGCAAGCCTTTCAAGACAGTCATGGTCTGGGGTCTTTTGTTCACCTTGTATTACCGCTTGAGGTATGCACCATGTTGTGATTTCGATGCATTTCTTCAGACCTGAGTTTTTGGGTCACTGCGGCCCATCACGCGTCACTTAGCCAGTAGCTGGCTCCTCAACACATCGATCTCCCCCTCCGGCCCGAGATCTTATTGCAGATCCTATCCCTCAGGCTGGAGAGATATGTGGAGTTCATGGAAGAGAGGGATCCATCATATTGTACATCCTCTGCAAGTGGGAAATTCCCCCACACCCCATCCTTTGGCATGGATGCAACATGCACGAGCCATCTCGACATTGCAGCGGGGACCACCGGCATCGAGCTCCCCGTCGAGATGAGGATGTCCGCGGAGAGCATGGTGCGGATAGAATCCAGGGGATCTTTCTGTGCGATCATGGAGCAGCTGCCCTGCCGTGTCCCGTTGCACAGCCGAGAGAGGCACGCGATGGGCGGCTTGGGGTCCTGGAACATGTACATTATCCTTGTGCATGCGGGCGATAGTATCTGGCGAGGGGTGGGTTGCCCTGGCATCCGACAGAGATATCACCCGTGCGGATGTGGGTTACCATAGATATGCACTGTGGGCCCATGGAGGGTATCATCCAATCCCTGTGTTCTCGGCCCTCCCGTGAGAGATCGAACCTGGGCTGCAAGAAACGGGGCAGCATAGAGTAACCCCTCAATGTGGGCAGCATGAAGCACGAGGACGCGCCGATGCAGCAATCATCGCATGATTCATAGAGGACGTTGCATGTCTTGTTGTGTTTGAACAGGGATGCATCCTTGTTCCATCCCGGGATGAAGGTTCTATGCAGGCCTGGGGTATCTTTGATGAGCCCGCTGGCATCGATCATGCTGCCCCTTATGTTTGCAAAGGATGGGAAGGATGAGTATTGCCCATGCAGCCCCGAGATGTTGAACTTGGACATCTCGAACACGGGGGTTGCATCTAGCATCTGTGCGAATTCTAGGGTGAGCGCAAGGTCACCGACCCTGTGTCCAAGTCCTGCGGCTTGATTATGATGGATCTGTGCATATCTAGGGCATGTCTTGTTGATTTCTTTCGATGCATGCGAATCCCTTGATCCTTGTGGGTGTGATATCGGCGGTGTGCCTTGTTTTCTTATGATGATCTTGTGGCCTGTGTTGTTGTTCGATTTATCTTTGGATAATGAAAGAGCATAATTCGACGCAACAGTGTACAACAAAACTGGATAAAGAAACAAGATCAAGAACATGGATCCCTTCTTCATACCCTTGATACCCCGATCTCTCTCTCTCTGACCTATAAACGACAAACTAAAAAAGATCCCTTCCTGTTTGGTTATTCTTTCTGGTTGGTTATTCTCTTTTACCTCGTCATCCCTGTAGTATCCTCGATCGCACAGGCAATCATGCCGAGCTCGATGTCCTGGGGGCTTCCATGGGCATGAACGAGCCGGCGGGGCATTCCATGCATGTGAACATTTCATCCGATCGGTCCTTGTAATAACCCTGATCGCACCTGCAATCGCCGCGTGCGGTCTTGGGTGCCTCGATCGGCATCGATGAATGTGCAGGGCATGGGATGCAAGAGCAGTTCTCCTCGGCCTGATAAGTGTCGCCTGGGCATTGCAGGCTGCTGATGGGGCATCTCTCGCAGTAACACGGGCCTGGAGATCCGGGCATGGAGTATGGTCTCGATGCGGGGCAATGCAGGCACTCCCCTATCCAGCGCACAATGACCACCCCGCTAGAGCCAGCCCCCCCAGGCTGTGGGAGTCCGGTCAGCACATCGCCCCCCCCGCCGCCGCTCCCCGTGTTTGCCACGGCATTCCTATAGTACAACATCTCCCCACCCCCACCGCCCACATCGACAAGCACGCCGTCCACGAGATAACCGCCGCCCGGGCCATCCGAATCCCCCCCATAATAATCATCGCCCGTGCCGCCCCCACCCCCACCGTACACCTCATCGACCCCCGTCAGGTTCACCAGTATGGCAGGCCCGCCCGCGCCGCCGCCCTGGTTCTCGTAATCGGCGCTGCCACCCACACCGCCACAGCCACCCCCACCGCCGCCCGATGCAGTACAGGTGGGCCCCGACAGGTCGGCTGGGGGTGGGACCCTCTTGTAGCCATCCCCGCCGCCGTAACCATGCCCATCATAGCCCGTGTTGTCGGCCGATCCACCGCCATAGGCGGCCTCGGTGTCCCACGAGTAGCTGATCGTATTCTCCATGGCGCCCGCACCGCCCCCACACCCACCGCTGCCCCCACGTATGTTCTGATGGGGTGCCTCCGTGTGGTACGATCCACCCCCACCGCCCCCCCGCACCCTCCTCACACAGGTGGTGTTCGGGTATTCACGGATATAGGTATCCCCACCGCTCATGCCCCGCTCCTCCCCGGTTGCACCCGCACCCCCCGCGCCCACGATGACCTCGTACTCCACATTCCCCCGGAACGCGATCCTGGTGGATAGGCATGATCCGGCACCCCCGCCGCCCCCGTACCTGTACCCACCCCCACCGCCGCCGCCGACCATGAACACATCCGCGTCGACGTCCTCAAGGAATGTGATGCTCCCGGACGAGGTGAACTTGTGATAGACATAGGATGTCCCAGGGATCAATCTGGCGGCCATGGGTGCACCCGACATCTTGATGTTGACATTGCCCTTGTTGAACATGTTCTCTGGGCATTCACCCATGCTATCGCAGCCCCCTGCGTTCACCGCCGCCTTCCTGTTGGGCGACATGGTCCCAGCCGGGCATTGGACACACCTTGATGATGCCCTGTCATAGAAGGTGTTCAATGGGCAGGCACCCCTGCAATCGCACGCCGTGTTATTCCCGGGGGGTGTCGCATGCCCTGCCGGGCAGGGCACGCACGATGTGCCATTGCTATATGTATCCCCTGGGCACAGGCTAGAGTAACATTCGAAGGAGTCATCCTTGCCATACCTGTGGTATTTATCGTTGCAGAAGCAATCTGCCCTTGCCGTCCTGTTTGTCATGTTGCGCGTGCCTGAATTCATGGGGCATGGCTTGCACTGCAGGCTGTTCTCCTCGTCCTGGTATGTATCCTTCGGGCAGGCCGTGCACTGCCGGTCGATCATTGAGTTTCCATCCGCACATGGGGTTGATTCATACGAGCCCCTGGGGCATACAGCGCATGGCGCGCACTCCCGGTTGCTCGATGCAGAGTCCTCCCTGCATTCCTTGGTCATGTAATGGCCACCGGCACAGTCACGGCAGTTGGAACAGAACCTATCGGTCCTTGCGTTCCCATTCGCGCACGGCGTGGTCTCATAGGTGTCCCCCGTGCAATCCCCCCTGCATGGTGCACACCGGCGGTCCATCGAGCTCGGGACCTGCACACAATCGCTGACCATGAACTCCCCATCATTGCAATCTGTGCAGCCCGAGCATTGGAAGGATCCATCGGGGTATGTGCCTGTGTATTCCTTGTAATGACCCGGGTTGCATACGCAATAGGCCGTGGCGGGTGCATTCATCGGGCACAGGTAGCAGAACTCCCCCGTGTCAACCACATCCTTGAACCGGATGATGATGATCCCCGACCCCCCCATGCCACCCCTGGCCTCCGACCATGCACCCCCCCCCCGCCGCCGCCCGTTGAGTTCCCGCCATCCCCGCCCCATCTGCAGCCGCTATAGGCCCAACCATTGTACATCCCACCGACGCCCCCGCTGGAATTTGCAAACGTCCTGTCGTTGCAAGGGTGCGGCATGCCCGGCTCGAGGCAGCCGCTCCTCCCACCCCCTCCACCCCCACCCATCCCTCCCCTCCCCCCCGTGCGACCTGCGAATTGACCCCCACCCCACCCCCACCCCAGTAGTAGCCCCTCCCATCGATGTTGATCTGGATCCCATCCCCGCCGTGCGGGGGGCTGTCCTTATCCCCCGACCCATCGGCCCCCGGTGATCCCGCACCCCACCCCACCGGCGGACACTGCGGAGTAGTCATCATCGGCAATCCCCCTTAGGCCGCCCCTCCCCCATGGTGACCATACCTTGCAAACGACAGGTCGCTCTGCGATGGCGTTGTGATCACCCCACCCCCATCGATCATGGCATTGATAAGGTCAGGGAAATAGGAGCTGGCCTGCGAGCCGCCCCCGGACCCGCCATCCCTCCCGCCTGCATAGGAATACCTCTCAAGAAAACCACCGCTCCCCCACCCCTCCATGGGCCATCTCCCCGAGGATGATGGAGTATTCGCCATCGGACCCCATGCCGTGCCCGGTCCCTCCGGCACCCCCCTCCCAACCAATGCACTATAGGCCCCCGTCCGACGGCTGCACCCTGGGCATGGCTCACACCCCCACCCCCGCCGCCGCCACCCACATCGGCACCACCCCCACCCCCACCGCCCACGACCAGCACGTCGATGATCGCGTCCCGGTCAAAGATGACCTGATAGGCGGTGTGCGCCGCATGCGATTCATCCCGGTAGTCAAGGTAATAACCGGAGCATGCACTTGGGGTGTACACGGGCGTACACCCGCGGTCCACGTTGGCATCATTCCGGCACACGGCCGTCTCATACTCGGCCGCGTTGCATGGGCCCTTGCAGGGCAGGCACTTCCTCCCCTGCCTCACGCTGCCATCCCCGCATCCCCATGCCATATAGGTCCCCACCCTGCATGTATCGCACGGGGCGCACACCCTGTCCTGGTCCACATGGCGCTCCCTGCAATCGACCTGCATGTATTCGCCCGCCCCACAATCCTGGCAATCCGAGCATACCGTGTCCCACCCCCCCGTGCAGTTGAAGGATACATAGGTGGTATCCCCCGTGCAGACGGAGCAACTCTCACATGTCCCCGCACCGTTGGAACCGCCACAGCCCGATAGGAACTGGCCATCGTCACACCGCTCCGGGCTGCATGCGTGGCATGAGCCGTGGGCATCCACATAGGCCTGATCATCGTAATAACCAGGGTCACAGTCGCATTTCCAGACCCTGGTGCAGTCTGGATAACCGGGGGGTGCAAAATTAACACAACCCGGTGCAATGTCATAGCTGTATCCATCATTATAGGCCGAATGATCGGGGCATGTGCAGCACATGCCCGTGACATAGGCATCCGATGGATTGGATTGGCACAGGAGGCATGCGAGGAGCGCAGGTGCCAAGGGGATGATTCTTTTCATTCTTTCCTTTCAAAAAAAATGTGTTTATATAAATCAATGTGGATTCTTTTTTTGAATCCACGCCCATGCATCACTCCGAGAAATCTAGGACGAACTGCAGCCCCACGTGCTGGCAGAATGCGTACAACACCCTCATGTCATTGTTTTCCTGCCTCTGCGCAGCGTGCAACAGGCTCCCGATCTTGCTCCTTGTCATGTACTTGGGATCCTTTAGGCTTGAGCCCCATTTGGTTACCTTCAACCAATCATCGATGTCCTCCTTGTGATCTTCCTTCCCCCTGAGGTTAGCCCTCCCCCTGAATGCATGGGATGCCGTTCTCTTGCCCGGTGCATGGTATGAATCCGTCGTGCTGCTATAGGTTGGATTTTTTTGGATTGCATAGATGCCATAGGGTCTATCCAGCATGATCCTAAAACGGTGCAATAGGATGGGCGCATTCTTCCTTGTATCGTTGTTGGCAACGTCGAGGTCCTTGTAGATCTGGCGCCATCTCCTGTGATCGTGGCATTTGAAGAGATGGGTTGAATTCTTGAACCAGACCTGCTGCATGTAGATGGGGAGAACAAAGTATTTGGTCCGGGGCACGTGGGACAGGTCGATGGGGCGCACAAAATAGGTGGGTGGGATCAAGAAGAATGGGTTGAAATCCACCCTGGTCATGCCCGATGGTTTCTTTTCTTTGTGCCAGAACCATTCCCAAAAATTGGCCGGCCGACTGAAATGCAGCTGGATGGTATCGGGGAGCGTGAGGTTGTCCGATTTGTTCCATCGGAGTCTGTCCCTTGCCTGCTCCTGCTTCAACCATTTCTTCACAAAGAGTTGGAACTCATCCCATACGAAGATGTATTCATCATGTTCACCCACGAATCGCTTTCCAAGATTCATGATCGATTCATCCATGTGCAGTGGAAAAATAGACTGGATGGTATAGATCTGTGATGGAAAGATACCCCTAAGGGGGTGGTTGGTTTGAAATCTGTCTTCCCAGTGCCAAAAAATCAGGACCATCCGATTTGTGTAATCTGGGTGCGCGCCACTGGATGTATAGGTCGATCTAGATCCATGTGAGGACACGGATGGGGCTACATAGGAGGGGTGATATCTCATGTTTTGGATCATATCAAAATCGTCATCGTCGTCGTCGTGTTCACGCACACTGCTCGGTTGAGATTTCGAGATGGATTGGGATCTAAAACTATGCGCCGAACCATGTGAGGATCTGTAGCTCGGTTGTTTGCTGCTCATCGATCTCATGTCATCCTCGAAGAAGGGGGGACCATAGGCAGAATCAAAAACATCCAAGTTATCATCACGTCGATGTCGAGGGGAGGGCAATGATTGGGTCTTTCTGGATTCTTCATAGGGGATTATTCTCAGTCCATTGTAGTTGGGCAATGATCTGGCATATGAAACTGACATTTTTTCGGATCCTGTTTTTAACCTTTAAACGGCAAAGGGATTCCCCAGGGCGTTGCCAAATTCAAAGCACATTATATATACCAAATCATATCAAACAATTTACCCCCTCGCGTTATATTTTTTTTTTGTTTTGAGAGGTATGTACCATGTTGTAATTCCGATACAATTTTTCAGATTTGAATTTTTGGGTCACTGTGGCCCATCATGTGTCACTTAGAGCCATTTTAGTTTGAATCAATGCAATGCATCAATACATGACAAGTCCCAAAATGCATTTGGCATGTACCATCAATTCAAGGCAAGTCCAATATGTCAAGATCCACCTCCTCAAACAAAAGGTCAAGATATTGGCAATAAGGTGTTTGGTTTCTTATCATCATCGTTATCACTGCCGAACGCATCACCGTCACTATCACTGTCTTGCACAATGCCTGATCTTCTTGATTTCAAATTGTTTTTCAAATGATTTTGTAGACTATTATTCTTTTGTTTTACTAGATCAATTCCGAATAAGGATTTTGATTGTTTCATCAGTGTTTGATTTTTCTCTTGTTCTTTCAGTCGTTTGCTTTCTGCCAACATTTCTTCGATGTTAACATTTCTCGGGTTCCTCGTTTTTGAACTTAACTCTTGCATGAGTGATATTGTTGGTGTTTTCTCTCTCCGTTCTTCTGGCTGCATTGCTGTTTGTGAGGAAATAACTGGAGCAATAGCTGACTTTTGAGAACGTTTAGGTGAAGGGTGTGAAGGATGTGAAAGAGGTGGAGGAGGTGGAGGAGGTGAAGAAAATGCTTGAGGTGGAGGTGGAGGTGGAGGTAGAGGTAAAGGAATATCTGAACGTGAAGGTGGAGGTAGAGGTGTATGAATTCTTTGATATAAGCTGTTTGCATAACAATTATTGTAACGTTTGTTCATAAGATATGATGTTCCGATCCCACTGGCCACACCTGAGATTAATCCAGTAACAATTGGCAATACGTATGTCGGATGTGTTTGCATTGGATATACAATGAGAGATGGAAACATTTTTGGAAATGTATTTGGTAAACGTTTTGGAGCTGGGTTGAGAATTGGGGGAGGTGGGATTGTTGGATATTTTGCTTGCACAGGAAACCATCTTTCAAACATGTTTTTAACCTATAAACGATAAACTAGAAATAAATATCAGAATCTAAAAAAAAGTCTATACCGCGATGGGTACATTACTTGATATAAATTCGGTATGAACATTGTGATTTGAATTTTGATATGCCCTGGGGAATCCCTTTGTTGTTTGAAGGGGATAAAGGTGTTTGCAATGACTGCGGTCGGTAGCAGAGGTAACCCTGTTCCACTATCCCAGGGGTATGGTACCAAAAATACTACCCCCGGGGTTCAATTTTTTTTGATCACGTTACCAACACCGCGTCGCCGACACCGCGTAACAACGTCGCATTACAGACACCGCGTACCAACGTCGCATTACAGACACCGCGTAACAACGTCGCATTACAGGCACCGCGTACCAACGTCGCATTACAGACACCGCGTAACAACGTCGCATTACAGACACCGCGTAACAACGTCGTATTACAGACACCGCGTAACAACGTCGCATTACAGACACCGCATAACAACGTCGAATTACAGACGTCTACAGCAAAACGCAAACTTTGGGTTTATTCTTCTTGTGGTGCAATCCTGTGCAGCAAAAACGCAAACTTTCGATTTATTTTGAAAAACAACATTTTTGCAAGTATCAAAAACACGCACCCCTTCTTCATATTGCAAACTCACACCCCTCCTTCGAAACGGTTACGCGAAGTTCACGATGAGTAACAGTCGCAATGCAATCTTGAGCAACAAAAAAACGCACCCTTTCGATAATATCTAGATGATTGGTTTCCGGTATTGTTTGATGATTGTTTCGCGCCCTTTATTCCGTGCGTATGATGTCTATCAAATGGAGTAGCAATCCCGATATTATGGTGGACTCTATGATGATCAATATGAGCATGATGAGCATGGCTGTGTTTATTGTATCCATGGGATGGTGCGATATTGTGCAGAACACTGTTTCATTGTCGTCTGGATAGGGATATACTGTTGTTGCTCAAGAAACCGAAACATATGGGTGTGTAGTAAACCCCATGTGAAGGCCTTCAAGTCAAACCACTGCCCAGATCCAGCAAAGGTAACCCTGTTCCACTATCCCAGGGGTATGGTACCAAAAATACTACCCCCCGGGGGTCAAAAATTTTTCATCACGCTACCGACGTCACGTTACCGACACAACGTTGCAAACGTCACGCTACCGACGTCACGTTACCGACACAACGTTGCAAACGTCACGCTACCGACGTCACGTTACCGGCACAACGTTACAAACATTACGTTACTAACAGAGGTTGTCAGGACACCCAGGAACGGGTGTCGGTTATTGGATATCGGTTAACGTTTTGGATAGGGATTATCGTCATGTTACCGGCCCACGTGACCGGCGTCACGCTACCGCATCACGTTACCAACGTACGTTTTCAAAAAAAACAGGTATCGGTTATTGGATATCGGTTAACGTTTTGGATGAGGATAAGGATAAGGATAAAGAACGCCTGAGCGTGTGTAGTAAAACCCCTGTGGTAAACATTGATATAGAGCCTTCACGTCCAACCACTACCCAGATCCACACACGACTTCAAAGCCAAAGTCAAAGCCAAAGTCAAAGCCAAAGCCAAAGCCAGAGCCAACTTCAAGATGACGAGGATGATGACTTCTGCTACTTCTACTGCTACTTCTACTGCTACTTCTACTGCTACTTCTACTGCTACTTCTACCGCCACCACCACGGTGAGGGATGCAATCCTTTCAAGGATGAGGTTCAGCTCTATCCAATCGAGGGTGATTGTCAAGGGCATGGTTGGGGCGATTGCCGCGGCCCACTCGAGGGGTGAGATCGGCATCGAATTCATGGGTGGTGGGGCCTTCCATTTGGTTGGGAGCAGGGTGATCCTGAGGCATCCCGGGGGATCCTCGAGATCCGGGCCCGGCATGGATGCCCATGACATCGACCTGAGGGATAGGGATCTGATCATGGGCGCACGGATCGCCGCGGAGTTCCTTATGGTATGCAGGGATTCGAGGAAGTTCATCCGTGGCATGGATGATGTCCTCCTGGGGAGCGATGTCTACATCGATATCGATGAGTATGTGCCGGAGCGTTGGGCGCATAAGAACAGGAGGTTCTGCCATGCCGTCCTGCTTGCGGTCTACACCGTTGTGATGAACCCGGTCTTCGAGGGGTACTCTTGCATCTTCAACCTGCCATTGGATGTCTGCGAGTGCGATGCCGGATTCTGAGCGCCCCTCCTGGGTTTAGGGTTTAGGCTGTTGATTTTAATTTTCGAACTTTGTATCACTTAGTTAGCCAATAGGCTTCTCCAATCTTGTGTCGTTTTGTGATGAATACATTCAAACCCGAGAGCCGACCCATTTATTTGTTTTTCAAACAAGAAAGCAAATACGACCAAGCAGATATTACCAACGGTGTACACCGCTTGCCATGGGATTTGATATGTTTTTGTGGTTGCGAGCTCTGTGATGCCCCAAGGGGCCACATTGATATAGGTTGGTCTGTGGCATGTGCCCGCTTGGCGTGCAGGGGCGGCCCTGAGGGCCGCCATGCTACGCGGTCCTTTTGCCAGATTTGATGATTGTTCAAGTGATAGATTGCCAGGGTGTCCCTTGAGCCATCAGCTTGAGCTTGAGCTTGAGCTTGAGCTTGAGCTTGAGCTTGAGCTTGAGCTTGAGCTTGAGCTTGAGCTTGAGCTTGAGCTTGAGCTTGAGCTTGAGCTTGAGCTTGAGCTTGAGCTTGAGCTTGAGCTTGAGCTTGAGCTTGAGCTTGAGCTTGAGCTTGAGCTTGAGCTTGAGCTTGAGCTTGAGCTTGAGCTTGAGCTTGAGCTTGAGCTTGAGCCATCATCTTGAGCTCTCCCAGCTGCCCGGGCTTTGGGGTCAATCCAGGCATCGCATTGGGCAATGCAAAAATGCGCCCACATCCAGTCATGATGATTTACCAACCGATAACCTTATCCTGCCCACAATCAACGGGGCGCATGATATCAAACGGTCAGCATTGATGATCTCAAGGGGTCATACCCATGACTCCCAGCTGCCCGGGCTTTGGGGTCAATCCAGGCATCTCATTGGGCAAATGCAAAAATGTGCCCACATCCAATCATGATGATTTACCAACCGATGATATCAAACGGTCAGCATTGATGATCTCAAGGGGTCATACCCATGACTCCCAGCTGCCCGGGCTTTGGGGTCAATCCAGGCATCTCATTGGGCAAATGCAAAAATGTGCCCACATCCAGTCATGATGATTTACCAACCGATGATATCAAACGGTCAGCATTGATGATCTCAAGGGGTCATACCCATGACTCCCAGCTGCACGGGCTTTTTGTGTCCAAATGATCCAAAGTGGGGGCGCATGATATCAAACGGTCACATACCAAATTTACACCCTCAGTAGTGAACGTCGGGGCGCATCATTTTAACGGGTCATACCAAATTTACACTTGCAGTACCGCATTCCTTTTCCACGTACCAACCATCATGGTGCTGAAAAAAACTTTAGAGGGTTATTATTTCAAGGCCAGAGGATCGATCATCCTCGCATAGGACACGCACGCACACAAAGAACAATCAAAGACACGAGAGGCATCATGAGCCAACACTCAAACGTCGACCCCAACCTCATCACCACCAAGTATCCATCCACCCCCTCAATCTATAATGTTCGGGGGGCGTGCGATGCATTGAACATCGAATGGTCATCCAAAGCCCCCAATGAATTGAACATCAGGGTCTTCACAAGAACGAAGCGTGGGGTGGCATACCTCTGGGACAAGAGAGGTTTGAAGTTCTTGACAAGGAGCAGGATGGATGCATTGATCATGTTCCCATTGGGGGATGTTGCAGGGATGCTGGGGATCTGTCGAACGACAATGAAGAGGGCCTGCAGGAGACTTGGGATCAAGAGGTGGCTATGCAGGCCCAATCCGGGGAAAGGGACGCCGTGGGATGGATCGTGTGAGGGAACCAACGATGGATCCTTCCAGGGATACTTCAAGGGATCCTCCCAGGGAGCCAACGAGGGATCCTTCCAGGGAGCCAACGAGGGATCCTTCCAGGGAGCCAACGATGGATCCTTCCAGGGAGCCAACGATGGATCCTTCCAGGGAGCCAACGATGGATCCTTCCAGGGAGCCAACGAGGGATCCTTCGAGAGATCCTTCCAGGGAGCCATCCATGGAGCCTTCCAGGGAGCCAACGATGGATCCTTCCAGGGAGCCGACGAGGGAGCCAACGATGGATCCTTCCAGGGAGCCGACTATGGATCCTTCCAGGGAGCCGACTATGGATCCTTCCAGGGAGCCGACGAGGGAGCCAACGATGGATCCTTCCTGGGAGCCGACGAGGGAGCCAACGATGGATCCTTCCAGGGAGCCGACTATGGATCCTTCCAGGGAGCCGACGATGGATCCTTCCAGGGAGCCGACGAGGGAGCCAACGATGGATCCTTCCAGGGAGCCGACGAGGGAGCCAACGATGGATCCTTCCAGGGAGCCTACTATGGATCCTTCCAGGGAGCCGACTAGGGATCCTTCCATGGATCCTTCCATGGATCCTTCCAGGGATCCACGATGGATCCTTCCAGGGAGCCAACGATGGATCCTTCCAGGGAGCCGACTATGGATCCTTCCAGGTGAGCCGACTATGGATCCTTCCAGGGAGCCAACGATGGATCCTTCCAGGGAGCCAACGATGGATCCTTCCAGGGAGCCGACGATGGATCCTTCCAGGGAGCCGACTATGGATCCTTCCAGGGAGCCGACGAGGGAGCCAACGATGGATCCTTCCAGGGAGCCCGACTATGGATCCTTCCAGGGAGCCAACGAGGGATCCTTCCAGGGGATCCTTCCAGGGAGCCAACGATGGATCCTTCCAGGGAGCCAACGATGGATCCTTCCAGGGATCCTTCCAGGGAGCCAACGATGGATCCTTCCAGGGAGCCAACGATGGATCCTTCCAGGGAGCCAACGATGGATCCTTCCAGGGGAGCCAACGATGGATCCTTCCAGGGAGCCAACGATGGATCCTTCCAGGGAGCCGACTATGGATCCTTCCAGGGAGCCGACGAGGGAGCCAACGATGGATCCTTCCTGGGAGCCGACGAGGGAGCCAACGATGGATCCTTCCAGGGAGCCGACTATGGATCCTTCCAGGGAGCCGACGAGGGAGCCAACATCACAAAATTCATTCCCACTATCGGGATGTGAAACTGGGATTCCCTGGGGAATCCTTTTGTTGTATATAGGTTAAAATCTCAAATCTTGTGTCCAATTCGCCATCATGCTATGCACCCCAAGCGGCCACGATGATGATTCTCAAGACCTCAAGACAGTCATCGTTTCATGGTTGCATTGATGCCTCGAGATACCAACGGAGTCTCAACAGCGGCGCGGATGCCATCATTCTATGTCACACACAAGATTCCCTGCATGCCTTGTCCTGTTGCCGCTAACCCGCCGCGTAGCATGGCGGCCCTCCGTAAATCCACCTCCGTACATCCAGCCCATATATGCCACAAAATATTGGCTAAGTGACAATTGCCACAAAATATTGGCTAAGTGACACTCGATGGGCCGCAGTGACAAAAACAATTCAAAACACAAGATTTCAGATTTTATTTCAACTCCTGTCACTTAGATTACACACATCCTGCTCCCAACCAAACCTGTGTGGGTTCTCCATGAGATCAAAGAGCGTCTCTTGGCAGAACCACGTATCGTTCAGCTCGATGTGCCATTGGACCTCCTCTTGCGCCTCCAATAGGAACGCCTGATCATCGAGCTCCTTGGCCGCTGCAGCCCTTCGCACGCTTGTAGACTCGGTCTTGACCCTGGCCTTGCGCAAGGTGCTCACAATGGCCATCTCCACAAACCCATCCAACATCTTGACCACACCCTCCCTATTGAAGCTCGAACCGGCAACAACAAACCTGGCACGCCTCCCATACACATGGCGGCTTCGACGCATAGCAGACGGCGCGATCATGATGGGGATAGATATTTTACAAGACAAAAAAGGAACGTGAAACAATCTGCATGTGGGGCCCCAACATTCCCATTGCCCATAATAAGGGGATGGGGTCTTTACCACAGGGGGGAGCCCCACCCCCCCACCCCTTGATATTCAGCCTCACACACCCGCCAGGAGGGGGTAAAAAAAGACGGTTGGCTTATCCCAAAAACCCTATCCGTATTTTTTTTGCAACGCCCGTTTATATGCGGTTTGGATAACAAGGATAAGGTCAGCAACAACCGCCAACCGATCGGCTGCAATCATAACCGCCGCCCCTCCCTGTTTTTTACCGGGATGATGTTTATAAACCCTAGGGGATACCCACACCACCAAAAAAACATGTGCCGTGTAAAGACAATCACACACCACAAGAACAAACGCACACTCGCCGATCTTGATCCTGTCCTCACCCCCAATGATGACATCAACCTCGATATATTCCAACCCCCAATCACACGATCGAAACACAACCCATGCAATGATCTTGCAATCGATTTCTTGACCGGTAAAATCACACTCGATGATATCATGATACAATCCATCGATCAATACCAGCCCAAACAGCAACACATGCAACAACACATGCAACAACACATGCAACAACACATGCAACAACACATGCAACAACACATGCAACAACACATGCAACAACACATGCAACAACACATGCAACAACACATGCAACAACACATGCAACAACACATGCAACAACACATGCAACAACACATGCAACAACACATGCAACAACACAAACACAATCACAAAATGCACAGTCACAACACCATCGATCAGATCCCCATGCACATGCAATACTCAAGCGATCCCGAGCAAGACACCGAAACACACCACGATTACATCACCGGAATTGTGCCCAATCCCGATCCAGATCACGATCCAGATCACAATCCAGATCCAGATCCCGATTCACATCCCGATTCAGGTCTCGATTCACATCCCGATTCAGGTCTCGATTCACATCCCGATTCAGGTCTCGATTCACATCCCGATTCAGGTCTCGATTCAGGTCTCGATTCAGGTCTCGATTCAGGTCTCGATTCAGGTCTCGATTCAGGTCTCGATTCACATCCCGATTCAGGTCTCGATTCAGGTCTCGATTCAGGTCTCGATTCAGGTCTCGATTCAGGTCTCGATTCAGGTCTCGATTCAGGTCTCGATTCAGGTCTCGATTCAGGTCTCGATTCAGGTCTCGATTCAGGTCTCGATTCAGGTCTCGATTCAGGTCTCGATTCAGGTCTCGATTCAGGTCTCGATTCAGATCTCGATTCAGATCCCGATTCAGGTCTCGATTCAGGTCTCGATTCAGGTCTCGATTCAGGTCTCGATTCAGGTCTCGATTCAGGTCTCGATTCAGGTCTCGATTCAGATCCAAACACAGATTCTGATTCTGACACAGATTCTGACACAGATTCCCATCCATTTTCCGATCAATTTTCCGATCCATTTTCCGATTCCGAACCCGAGACCCTCCAATGAGGAGACCATAGATGGATGAACGAGGAATATGCAACCGACGCCATCACCCACGCAAACACCTGCGTTCTCACAAGCCCGATCTGAGCCGCCCCGGACGTGATTCGCTGCATATGTGTAATACTAGTACCCCGCCATACCCTATAAAAAAACTGCACACAAAACACACACGCCCCTCTCCCCACCCTATACAGGACTCTACTCTTTGATGGCCTCGAAGTTCTTGCCCCAAAGGCTGTCCGCTATCGTTGCGTATATGTAATCCACACACGTTCTTTACTCCAACCCATACATTCACGCATATTTATTTGTTCCGTACACAGGACATTTTGGTGGTCTCGAAGTTTGTGAGCGATTCATTGAAAGACTGCGTTCTCGCCATGCCGTTCTGAGCCGCCCCGGACGTAAATCGCTCCCCCCCAGGCTGTCCGGCGATTTGCTATTAGTTCCGTACACAGGACATTTTGGTGTTTGTGAGCGATTCATTGAAAGACTGCGTTCTCGCCATGCCGTTCTGAGCCGCCCCGGACGTAAATCGCTCCCCCCCAGGCTGTCCGGCGATTTGCTATTAGTTCCGTACACAGGACATTTTGGTGTTTGTGAGCGATTCATTGAAAGACTGCGTTCTCGCCATGCCGTTCTGAGCCGCCCCGGACGTAAATCGCTCCCCCCCAGGCTGTCCGCTGTCGTTGGATATGTGTAATACTAGTACCCCGCCATACCCTATAAAAAAACTGCACACAAAACACACACGCCCCTCTCTCTCCCGTATAACAGTACAGGACTCTTTGTATCGTTGCGTATATGTAATCCACACACGTTCTTTACTCCAACCCATACATTCACGCATACTTATTTGTTCCGTACACAGGACATTTTGGTGGTCTCGAAGTTTGTGAGCGATTCATTGAAAGACTGCGTTCTCACCATGCCGTTCTGAGCCGCCCCGGACGTAAATCGCTCCCCCCCAGGCTGTCCGGCGATTTGCTATTATACGTGTTTTAACTTTCTTACATCCTATTGAAAATCAATTGTATACTATAAATTTTTTATAAAATCGAATCGTTCTCACCGGCATGATTCGAGTCCCCTGCCTCCCTCCTTCATTCGACTACCCCTACCCGCTATTTGCCTACATCCCCAAATCTCCACCTACCCCACCCTCTGTTCTCAACCTCCGCAATGCCGTACAACTGCCGTGATTGCCAGGCAAGGAGCAGCTGCGATGAGATGCTGTTACCTTGAGTGACATGCTTGATGATGGAGATGTTTCCTTTGCTCCCCCGCATCTGATCCTTCCATCATTCAACTCCTTTCTTGGCGGCTCCTTCACTTCCTCCTAACACTTTTTTTTGACCTTCTGACTTGTGTGTCTCCAGATCGTGATCGAAAATGATACCAACGACAGCACAAAATGCGTAATTTGAATAGCTTCCAGTAGGCGTCACCTGACTTTGAGTGTTTTACGTTCTGCCGTGAATTGCAATGTTGTTATTCGGAAGGCGGTAAGCATCAGTCTGTGCAGCATATGCTCAGGGAATGTTTCGCTGACATTGGTTTTGCTTCTTGTCTGTGTTTGGTGTCGGATGGATGGGTTGCTGGATCGGATAGGGGGTAAGTATCTTGATCAAAATATGCGGTCAGGGAACGATTAGACTGACATGTACTTTGCAATCTCTGTCGTTGCTGCTCGGACGGATTGAACTTGGGCCTGGTAGCATGTAAGTTATGATTATGAAATATGCGGTCAGGGGACGATATGGCTGACATGCATCTTGCAAATCTTATCGATTACTGCTCGGATGGACTGTCGATGATGCTGGATAGTGGGTGAGTGACGAATATGTACCATGCGATCAGGGAACGATTGGCTGACATTTCGTTTTGCAATCTCTGTTGTTTCTGGTTGAATGGATGAAATTTGGGCTTGATAGTTTGTAAGTAGCATATGCTATGATGCGGTCAGAGGATGATTGGACTGACATTTTCTTTTGTGTATATGTCGGTATTTGCTCGAATGTACTGTGGATGGCGCGGTATAGTCGGTAAGTGACGATGATGAAAGATGTGGTCAGGGGATGATTGGACTGACATGTATTTTGCAAATTCCTGGTTTTTCCTTGCTTGCATGGATTAAATTCGTCTTCATAGGAAGTAAGTGTCATATCATATGATGCGGTCAGGGAACGATAGACTGACATGTATTTTGCAAATTCCTGGTTTTTCCTTGCTTGCATGGATTAAATTCACCTTCGTAGCACGTAAGTGTCATATCATAATGATGCGCTCAGGGGACGATAGACTGACATGTATTTTGCAAATTCCTGGTTTTTCCTTGCTTGCATGGATAAAATTCGCCTTCGTAGTTCGTAAGTGTCATGTCATATGATGTGCTCAGGGATCGATTGGGCTGACATTCTTCGTTTGTTTCTCGGTTTCTCATTGGTTGGGATGTTGATTTGTCCGGACAGTCGGTAAGTGATGATTATGAAACATGCGGTCAGGGGACGATTTGACTGACATGCAATTTGCAATTTGATCGGTTATTGCTTGGATGGATGAAACTTGGGCCTGATAGTATGTAAGTGACGCTTATGAAACATGCTCTCAGGGAATAATTGGACTGACGTCTGTTTTGCAAATTCCTGGTTTTTCATTGTTTGCATGGATTAAATTCGTCTTTGTAGAAAGTAAGTGTCATATCATATGATGCGGTCAGGGAAAGATTGGCTGACATGTATTTCTGCAATCATGATGTTTTTTGGCTTGGACGAATTGGTGATGGGACTCGATAGCCGGTAAGTATCTTGATTGAAACATGCGGTCAGGGGATGATTGGACTGAATTTGTTTTTCAAAATTCCTGGTTTTTCCTTGTTTCGTTCTTCATAGGGAGTAAGTGTCATATCATATGATGTGCTCAGAGAATGATTGGCTGACATGTATTTTGCCATTCGGGTCTTTGCTGGCATGCTCTGCATTGCGGCTGTTTTTTATCTAGTGCTGCGTTTGCTACTACGACGATGAACCTGAAGATAAAAGGCAAGAACACATGTGCCGGCACTGCAAGGATCGACGTTCCTGCGTGCACAACCTTGAGCAAGATCTTGTATCGTCAAGACCCAGTAGGCAGGACGCCATCGCCAAGATCGAGAAGGTCCGCGAGCACGTCAACAACGTGGGGAAGCCCTTTGCCGAGAGACTGGATCTAGTCAAGTGCCACTACATCTTCGGGATGCAAGAGATAGATACTTCTGCTGTCGAAGGAGTGAAGCAGCTCCTGTCGGGCGGGGAGCTCGGGAGCTGCTACAACAGAAAGAAGGGCACGCTCAACATGTCTTTGCAGACAGATAGGATGAAACGATATGTGATACGAGATCTGAGGATGAAGAGCCTGCCTCGCTGGATCTCCAAGCTCGGCGTCGCTTTCAAAGTCATCGACGTGTCCGGTAACCCCAGCCTCTCCCGCCTTCCCTTGGACGAGCTCTGCAGCATGGCAAAGTCAAGATGGTGGAACATGAGACCTAGTCTGCAGGAGGTCAAGTGTGAGAGCTGCGTCAGGCTGCAGCTGCCTCCCCCTGAGATCGCCAGTCAGGGAGGGGCAGCTGCTTTCACGTACCTGCAGAGTGTCAAGAGAGACAGCGAGGCGAACAAGCGGATCAACCTCATCCTCATAGGCAACGGAGAGGCAGGCAAGACGAGCGTGCTGAGAGCTCTGAGGTCAGACAAGGACAAGGCGGACAAGATCGAGGTAGACAGAAGGACGATCGGGATAGACCTGCACGAGTGGAAGCCTGAGGACGCTGACGGGCTGACGTTTGACGTGATGGACTTCGGGGGGCAGCAGATCTACGCCAAGACGAACCAGTACTTCATCGTGAGGCGGGCCTTGTACCTGCTGGTGTGGAGCGTGAGGGCGAAGCGAGACAAGGAGAGCAACGAGGATGGAGGGGAAGGCATGGAGGAGCTGAAGAAGATGATCTCTACATGGCTGCAAGCTACGCAAGCGCGAGTGCCGGGAGCGAGCGTGTTGCTCGTAGTAACGCACATTGATCTTGCCGGGGAGAGCGAGGTGACGGATCAGTGTGAGGAGGTGAAGGCATGTGTGGAAGAGGAGCTGAAGAAGATGGCAGAGGAAAACGATGAGAACATCCTGCCGTTACATGTGATCAACGGAGGCGAGAGCTTCCGGGTGAACTGTCTTGAGGGACAGGGAGTGGAGGAGCTGCGGCGATCTGTGTGTATGACTGCAAAAGAGCTGCTGTGGTGGGAGGAAAGAATCCCTGGACCTTATCTGAGACTGAGAGAGGCTGTGGAGAAGCGAAAGTCGGGGTCTGTCTCGTACGTCAAGGTAGAGGAGTACAAGGAGATGTTGAGAGAGTCAGGGGTCAACGAGAAAGAGCACAAGGTGGTGACAAGCTTCTTGCACGACATGGGCGTGCTCAAGTACTTTGGTCATGAGCTGAGTGCCGATGAAAGCAAGAAAGACCAAGGCAAGTACTCCGTCGAGGACACGGTCTTCATCGATCCCGTGTGGATGATCGACGTGTTCAAGGGCGTGATGCGACATGACTGGGAGCATCTGCTCGACTTCTTCCAGCTGGACCCAACCAAGTCCAAGAAGACGAAGAAGCTGCTGCACCTGGGTATCATAGACGAGGACATGTTGGAGTACTTGTGGCCCCAGCAAGGTAGGGACTTCTGGCGCAATGCGAAGACAGACAAGACATCAAGATCGAAAGAGGTAGGCTTTATCAAGAGCCATGTGGAGGTGCAGGAGGCGGTGGCTCTGCTTCGGGGCTGCGATCTGGCGCACTTCCTGAGCGTGGGCATGAAGGACTTGAAGGATACAGACAACAAGAGCAGAGAGCTGCTGTGTCCCGGCATCATCCCGCCGTTCACGCATGAGCACAAGCGAGCAGTGACGGACAAGGACAAGCAGTCTCTGTGCGCATCTGTCGAGTGCGAGTACAACATCTTCCCCGCAGGCTTCATCGACAGGCTGGTCGTGCTGTGCGCTGCTCGACACTTTGAGGTAGACTGCAGCGGCTCTATGGCGGTGATGAAGGGCTGGGGCCGAACGCTGCTGGTGAGATGGCGAGAAGACAATGACAAGCACGTGCTGAGAGCTGATGCGTCGACGAGGCAGCAGATCGAGAACTTGCAAGAGGACTTGAGGCGACTCGAGGCATTCTTCCCGGGGATGAAGCGAAGGAGAAGCGACGAAGAGAGCTCAGGCAAACAGGCCGTGCAGGTAGGGATCTTCACGCAAGGAGAGAGGTCAAGAGCATGTGGGCTGGATATTGAAAGAAAGTTGAAGGAGCTTTACAAGGCAGAGAACCTCCCTCTAGGTCTTACTTGTCAGATTCATCCGTGTGACGAACGTGGAGGTGCTGTTGATGAATGTCTCGTGAACATCTTGTGTATATCGACGGAGTGTGTTGATGAGCATGGAGCCATGCAAGGAGAAAGTAGCTTCAGCAAGCTATGGAACAGATTGACAACGAGCAAAGCAATTATCATCCCCGTCGTATTGACAGACTACTACGACAAGCAGATCAAGCCGAGGAACAGGTTCAACCATTGGTGGCCGCAGGAGATACAAGGGATGGAGCGATACCGGATCTTTCACGAGTACAAGAAGCAAGATGAAGTATCGAATGATGAATTATCGAAAGACAAAGTATCCGTATATGAAAAATCTATGCAAACATTGTACGACGGCGTCATCAAGAAGCTGCATCAGGGACGAGGAAGCTTCGAAGACTTGTACGAGGTCACCAGTCAGAACGAGCTTCTGTGCCAAGCTTGCTTGCATGATAGGTCTGAGTCTCCACCTGCCTCACAAGGCGATCGAGTCGTGGGCAGGTTTGATTTGTCGAAGATCAAGGAAGCGCTAGAAGGAGAAACCAAGGGTATGACGACATCCATTCAGCAAGGGTTGGAGCAAGAAGATGTCATAAAACACAAGATTATGATCAAAGCAATCACTTGCACAAGGGGTCATACGACAACCGTGAAGGAGGTGCTGGCGTTCAATGGCTCGAGCTCCCCGTGTCCGTCTTGCTTGAAGGACAAGAGAGTCCCGCACTTCTTCAGCCGACCCACGTGCTTGAGCATGCTCGCTCGTGACCTGACGGCTAAGATTTACTGCGATCAATGTCAGAGGGAGGTGGACGTGCTGGACGTCACGCCGCCGCAGGTGTTCTTGAGCTACCAGTGGGGGCACGACAACTCGACGCAGAAGATGGTGAGGGATGTGAAGCGGGGGATCGAGGAGCAGACGAGCCTGCAGTGCTGGTTCGACGTGGAGGGAGGGATCAACCCCGGGGAAGATCACATGCAGAAGATGGAGCAGGGAGTGTCTCGCTGCGAGGTGTTTGTGGTCTTTATGAGCGACAAGTACGTCAAGAGCGCCAACTGCAGGAGGGAGTTTGCTCGGGCGTGTGAGGCAGGGAAGTACATCATCCCTGTGCTGGTGCCGGTGCTGTTTCAAGAAGACAAGGCGAAGTCAGAGTCAGGCTGGAAGGGCGGCAACGGGGATGAAGACTGGTGGAAGAGGATCGCTGATATCGAGGGAAGCGAAGGAGCTGGGCAAGAGGTCAAGGTCGACTGGAAGTATCTCGCGTCATTCCCGAGGACTTTGAGGCTTCAAGCTGAGGTGCAAGGAGCAGAGGTGCGGGTGAGGGCAGGGCTGAAGGAGCTGGTGGCGGCTGTGCAGGCACGAGTTTACAGGGGAAGCGTGGTCTGGCACGAAACCATCGCAGACTCTTGTTCTAAGACACCTGAGAAGAAGGGACAGGTACACGGAGATCGTGAACTGGGGAGCTCGCGGGGGGAGGAGGTAGATCGTAGGAAGAAAGAGCAGCTGGTAGAAGGGCTGGGAACAAAGGAGGCACTAGGCTCTGGGGGCGCACAAGAGGCGGAGCTTGCGGAGGCAAGGAGGGAGGCGGAGCGGGCAGAGACCTCGGGCACCAAGGGTCAGGGAGAGAGGAAGAGCTGGGAAAGCGCTGCTAGGGGAGGTGAGGGTGAGATTGACAAGAGGAGTCTCCAAGGGCGTCAGAGGGAGACGGTGAAGACCTCAGCTTGTTGTGTCGTGAGTTAGTCAGACGACCATGCTGATGGGACGTTAGGTAGCGGTTACAGCTTGATAAACATAGTGCGAAGCAGAAGCCTCTTGTCTGACGACTACCCTGATGTGCTTGAGCAGAGGACGACTCTGATGTGCTCGAGTCGAGCAGAGGACGACTCTGATGTGCTTGAGCAGAGGACGACTCTCATGTGCTTGAGCAGAGGACGACTCTCATGTGCTTGAGCAGAGGACGACTCTGATGTGCTTGAGCAGAGGTCGACTCTGATGTGCTTGAGCAGAGGACGACTCTGATGTGCTTGAGCAGAGGACGACTCTCATGTGCTTGAGCAGAGGACGACTCTGATGTGCTTGAGCAGAGGACGACTCTCATGTGCTTGAGCAGAGGTCGACTCTGATGTGCTTGATCTCTCCTCGCAGTCGCTAAGTCGAGGACAGTGTTTCCAAGAAACACAAGAATCAGAGTAACTCACACAACAAGAGTCGGCAAAGCAAGAGGAGATCGGATCGAGAGAAAGAGAAATGAGGACGGTCAGCGATAGTGGAACAGCAATAGCTGAGTTGTCGTGCTTGTCTCCTTGTCTTTCTCCTCTTGTCCTGTGTTTTCATCACAGCCCGAGGCCTGCGAGCTTAGCTTATATGGTGTTCATCTGCCAGCACTGTCACCTCACCCGAGACGTGAGAGGAGGGGAGGGAGGCAGGGAGGCAGGGAGGCAGGAAACAGGAGAAACAAAGGGAGGGAGGAGAGGGAAAGGCAGGAAGGGAAAGCAAGGAGGGAGGGAGGGGAGGTAGGAGGAAGGAGGAGGGAGGGAGGGAGGGGACGTGGGAGGAAGGGAGGGGGGTACGGGTGTACAGACCTTGATGTCAAGTTTCTTCTGCATGGAGGACGAGGACCAGGCAGAAGTAGCAGGAGAGAAGGAGGAGGAAGAGGAAAAGCAGGAGCAGGAGCAGGAGCAGGAGCAGGAGCAGGAGCAGGAGCAGGAGCAGGAGCAGGAGCAGGAGCAGCAGGAAGGAACGGGAAAAAGAAATGCAAGTACAAAGCAGGAGGAGATTTCGATGCTGGAAGACCCTTTTGGTAGGAAGAGGGGTTGGAGAAACGGGATTCGGAGTACAAGGGAGGAGGAGAAGGAGAAAAATAGAACGACGCAACAAAGGATGGTGTAAGAGGTATACCTTGGCAACCCTTGCTTCTGATGATTCTTCCTCCTCCTACATTGACCCTCAAACTCTGTTCGTCAGCCCCACCTCTCCACCTTCTTCTTCTCCTTCGCCTCCTTGTATCTGCATCACAGCATCCTCATTTGGGGGAGAGCCAAGGTGAAGTCGGAAGGTGGAGCAGGAGCAGGAGCTGTGTTGACGAAGAGGCAAGTGGAAAACTGATCCTTCTCCTGCTGTCTGCTCAACCATCTCTTGAAGTGCAAGCAAGAACCTCACCTGATCCCTTGTGTTTGCAAACCTGTACAACCTGTAATCCTTCACTCGAGCATAACCACGACACCTACAATATGGAGAGCTCTTTGATCGTCGGGAATGCCTTTGACTGGGTCGCTGTTGTGCGGTATCACTAGCATTCCCATTTGGCGGTTGCCTAGAATCTGCATCATTCTTTTTCTCACGCTTCTTCTTCAAAGTGAACATGAAGGTCTTGACATTGATCTTGTGCTGAGTGAAATGGTCCACGTTTTCTTCATGCGACTTGATCTGATCCAGCAACGTCCTCGTGTCAGCTTCCTTGAGAACTTTATCGATCCCGCCTTGAGCTACGAGTTCCCCATGTGTTGGAACTATCCACTGCATCACAAGCTCCTCCTCCCGTGAAGCTCTCCTGGTCGCCTCCATTTCCTCTCTCGCAGAGTAGGCCTAGTTCAACCCATGTTGGAGCACAAGGCTAGAGGGTTAAATGACATGTGAATTATGGATGCATGCTTCTGTCACTTCAGCAGAACTCCCTGCGAGCGAGCTTGTCCTATCCGTATCTCTATCCTTCCGCAAGCTCCTGCCTCTCGCCCTGGATGCTGCTCTCTCCCGGTCTTCTTCCGAGGCTTCACCCCCATCGGGTGATCGCCCTTCCCTGCCTATCGTCTACTAGCCTCGACCCCTGTCGGGTTCTCATACGCGGCATTTATTCATGTTACGGCCCACGGCAATACAAACTGCACAACTGAGGTCCGACCTGTCCTGTACTATCCCAGAGATCATCAACCCGCAGGCTTGCGATGCCATGCGGCTAAGACCGAGGACATGACGAAAAGAAGGCTGAGCATCACATTGAATTTGAAGCTCCCCTTGGAGTCGAGCTCATCCCTCTGGCCGGCGGTGAGCTGCCTCGGACTGACCGATGTTTGTCACGTTTGAGCCTGTTGGTTTGTTCTTGCTTCTTTGTCGCCTGGCTGTCTGGGTTGATGATGGTACTTTCTTCGCCTCTCGTGCAGTACGTGGAGCTTTTGGCTCTACATATGGAACATAGCACAGGTACACAGGTATCTCTGCCGAGTCACAAATCATCAGGCCACCATCACGTGCATCAGTAAAGAACTGGGTCGCTACGCGACCAGCATCGTCAAACTGCTCTCGAGTGCCATTGAAGAATATTCCCATGGCTACAATCCTGGTATCCTTTCCTAACATGTCAGCTTTGACACTGAATGCTACGGACATATGGTAGATGACATGGAAGAGCTTCTCTGGGTCTTTGCAGAACTCAAAGTATATGTACTCTCCTCTCTGCATGTTGACTTCGGAGAAAGCTTGTTGGCATGTCCCAACACAGTATATATCTTTCTCTGGGTCTTGAATGAGATCCTTGAAGTATGTCCCGAGACGCATGTCATTCTCCTTCAAGGCAAGACACATTCCCAAGCTCAGCACATTCCCGGTCTTGTACTTCCTCGCCTGCTCTGATCCAATCAGCTGGTACTTTGTCACTTGTTGATTGTTGTTGTAATCAGAGATCCTGGACAACACATGTCTTGACCTTGGACTAGCAAGCGCTATCCATGCTTGCATTTCGTGGTTGTTTGTGCTGAACGGATCCTCGGTAAGCGAGGGGTGAGCAAAAAAAAAAAGAAGCGCGGGAGACCTTGTTGGGATAAGCGTTGGTTTGCATTTACCCGCGCGGTTTGATTTAGAGACTGTAGGTGGGTAGGATTTGAAAAATGAGGGGAGGGTTTGGCACATCTCGATCAGATTTCAGCCTCGCCGCCTGCGGTAGGGAACGTTTAGGCAGAAGAAGGATGTTTCTAGGACAAGTAGCTTCGATTTGAATTTAGGCGAGATCTGAGAGGACGCATCAAAAACAACTTAAATGTATAGGAGACACCAGTTACGGAATCCCACTAAATCTTACACCTCTAATACTTAATTTGTTTTTTGGAACTGTTGATAAGTTGATCTTCCGTATCTTTGGCAAGCTATGCACATGTCAACTGCGATTGGCATGTTGAGCAATGCCTGACCTCCAATAACATGTTTAGTTGTCATGTTAGCAATGCCTGACCTCCAATAACATGTTTAGTTGTCATGTTAGCAATGCCTGACCTCCAATAACATGTTTAGTCATGTTAGCAATGCCTGACCTCCAATAACATGTTTAGTCATCAAGTTAGCAATGCCTGACCTCCAATAACATGTAACTTGACAAGATCTAATGACATTCCCATACTTTCTATCGTCAGACGTCGTGCCCATGATCCTGTGTCTGAGTCACGACCAGCATGTCGAACCAATCTTGTTGCGATCATACCGTGACATCAAGTTGCTTGATCGTGCAAAGCTCCTCAATCTGTGATTCCATGATATGATCAAGTATCTCCATGGGGCTTTCGTCTTTACTTAATGAATGACACCTTGCACACCTAAAAAAAGCTAGATGCTGAATATAGTATCCTTCAACCTCTGATGTTGACATTAAAGATTCCGTATACCGTACAAGCGCTTCATACCCTTTCTTCCTAAAAACTTAATTCCCGGCAGGATCCTTCTCGGAATGAACTTCGGAAAAACGTGGCACTGTTAGCGGGTTAGGAAACTTTGATCTTCTAATAAAGTTCGCCCGGAGCGAATGCTTCTCGACAAGAAGACGTGCATGAGTCTAGGATACAAGGATACACTTGTTGCACCCTAACGGTTTCGTGCCTTTTAAAAGTTCAGCTCTACGGCATGGACGACTTGCGCGCTCAATCCTGAGGCGGGCTCTGAAAATCCCGCAGTCAGCCCCCACATGGCAGAACAAGCACTGCTCCTGCGCCTGCGCCTGCGCTTGCTCCAGCACCAGCACCAGCACCAGCACCAGCACCAGCACCAGCACCAGCACCTGCTCCTGCTCCTGCTCCTGCTCCTGCTCCTGCTGCTGCTTCTGCTCCTGCTCCTGCTCCTGCTCCTGCTCCTGCTCCTGCTCCTGCACCTGCACCTGCTCCTGCTCCTGCTCCTGCTCCTGCTCCTGAGCCAGCTCTTACGGCTTCTTCTGCTCTTCTTCTGTCCATCATTCTGAGTGATGATCTGATCGCGGCATCACTTGACTTGTGTGGCAGCGAATACCACAAGCTTACCTTATCCCCGCGAGCGGGCACGATGGACGAGGACGTCTGTCTCGTCTGCTGCGAGCCCCTCGAGCACATCGCCATTGGTGCATGCAACCATCGAGCGGTAAGGACTTCTTGTAGTGTTCGTGATGTATGGATGTGATGTGATGTATGGATTGGACGTGACACGTGCAACACGTGCGATGTATTCAGTATAAGTGACCTGGGGTATTTTGTGTGTATGCAGTATTTGTAGAACGTGTCTTCACAGAATATGCAGAATTCATCATGCATACCATGCATGTGATGATTGCAATATTTGTAACATATGCAATGTTAATGACTTGAAGAATTTATGGTCTGGAGAATTTTGGATGCGTCCAGCATTTGTAACATGTGCAATATTTGTCTCATCTCAATCTTATCTCTCACTTTCCCGTGTTTCTCTCACTTTCCCGTGTTAGGTATGCGCTCTTTGCTCCGTGCGGATGCGACAGGTTCATAGAATGGAGTTTTCTCAGCTTGCTGACAAACAGGTCGTTTGCAGCTCGTCGGAGATCTCAACTGCATCCTCTGCAAGCAGCAGCTGGAGCAGGTGATCATCACCTCGGACAAGACCAGGAGCTTCGACGACTTCCCCATGTGGGGAGACATCTGCCGCGTGGATGGTGAGCAAGCAAGAGGAGGGGGAGGACAGTGAGAGTTGAGGCTTGGCGGCAGGGAGGGACCTGTCCTTCGACGAGCCCTCGCAGGCTTTCTTCCATGACCTGCAAGCTCTTGATCGCATCTCCTCTCTTCGCTCCTTTGCATGCGGCAAATGTCCTCCTCCTCCTTCTCGAGGAAGTTTCGTCGCCAAGGACAAGAAGGAACTCAAGGTGTTGTCTGCTCCTCGCGCCCTCTCTGACTTCTCCCTTCTTGCCTGCAGAGCCACATGCAGAGCTTTCATGGCGTCACTTTCTGTGATCTCTGCCTGGAGCATCGCAAGGTGAAGGAGGGAGGAGGTGGAGGCGAGGGAGCTGAGGAAGGGGCAGGTCTTTGTGCAGGAGCACGAGCTGCTTGATAAGCATCAGCTGAGGGTTCACGAGCGGGAGGGAGACCAGGTGAGGGTCTGTCGCTGCTAGGACGAGTCTGACAGGAGCAGCATGGCGGCGCCTTCAAGGGACATCCTCTCTGCGAGTTCTGCATGGCGCGATACTACGACGACGGGGGGCTGTGGGGGCATCTGAGGCAGGATCACTTCCAGTGCTTTCTGTGTGACCGCGTCCTCTCCTCTCTCAACTCGGAGTTCTACCGCGACTACCCCGAGCTGGAGCATCACTTCCGCTCCTCTCACTTCCTGTGCGAGGAGCCTGAGTGTCTGTCCCACAAGTTCGTCGCCTTCTCCACCCACGAGGAACTTCAGGCCCACCATGCTGCCCATCATCTCTCCAACGCTCCTCGTTCCAAGCGCCACGTCCCCATGGCTCTTCCCTTCACCTTCCGGCGCAGCGACCCTCCTCCCTCCTACCGCGGTCGATCTCGACCTCCCCAAGCCTCGACCCCCGGGCCAGCGCAGCAAGCGACGAGCTCCTCGATCTCTGACTCATCCAACGACCTCTCGTTGCACCCTCGCAACTTTGCGACTTCCAACGACAATGACTTCCCGTCTCTGCCGGCAGCTCCTCGAGTATCCCCCCCGTTTCTCTTGCCCAGTTTCCCTCTCCCCTCCCTCACCTTGTTCGAGCGGCTGCTTGACTCTCTTGTGCTGCAGGGAAAGAAGAAAGCAGCTCAGCCTCGAGCTTCGCGTCCTCCGCCTTCCAACTGGGCAGGTGTCACTCAAACCTACACGGAAGGAGCCAGCGAGCGCAGACATGCAAGAAGGGATCGCATGCAAACTCCCTCCTCCTCCGCTCTTGCCTCCTCCTCCCCTGCCATCGCCTCTTTGCCATACACCTCCGCGGAGGCCGGCATCGACCCCCCCTCCTCTACTGCTCCTTCTACCTCTGCTCCTTCCATCTCGAGCTGGGTCCCAGCAGTTGAGCGGCCCAGAAGGCAACGGACAGTGGGAGAGGAGCTGGGACAGGGGAGGTGAAGGAGTGACGTGGCATGTCACGAGGGTGACGAGGAGCAGGTTCAACCGGCTCAAGAACTCCATCCAACAGCTGTGCAAGGGCCGCGCGTCTGCTGATGACTTCGTGCTGGAGGTGGGCTGGGCAGAGTCTGAGCAGGCCGAGGGGGAAACAGAGACGTGGAGGGAGCAACAGCGGCAGGAGAGGAGCGAGAGAAGACCAGCAGCAGAGGAGGAGGGGGGGGGGGATGGGAGGAGGAGGAGGAGGAGGAGGAGGCGGAGGAGGGAAGTAGGAGAGGGCAGCAGGGTCGATGGGGTGGGGTGATGGGTTGCAGAGACTGGGGAGGTTGGAGGAGAACCTGATTGATTGAGATGAAACAGCACGTGGAAGACATCTCGAGGCTGCAGGACAGCGGCCTCCTCACCGCCATGCTCAACCTGATCTCCAACAAGGCTTCCCAACCTCTTGTGCTTGCGCTTGCCTGATGCTCCGAGCAGGCGAGCAGGATCCAAGTAGAGCAGATGGTGGCTGGTAACGCGAAAGGCGGCGAGCAAGCTATGCAGCAGGAGGAGGCGCCTTCGAGCTTGGGAGAGGCGCTTGGGGCAGCGATAAGGAGGGCGGAGGGAGGAGGAGAGGAGAGAGAGAAGAAGGCGGGGAAGGGGAAGAGCAAGAAGAAGCACGTCGGTCACTTTGGGATTGAGATGGAGGAGGAGGCGGTTCCTGCGATGGAGCAGAACAAGCAGACAGCAGCAACAAGTCGACACGAGAAGCTGACGGGAAGAAAAGCAAACGACAAGGCAAGCAGCAGTGGGGTAGGGGAAGAGGAGGAGGAGCTCGTTATGCTGACGGTTGTGCAGCAACAGGAACAAAGCGTGAGTGCGGATGATGTAGTCGCAGCTGCGGAAGCCTTTGCTCTGAAGCTCCTTTAAGCCCTTCCCATGCTTGCTCACCCTCGCCTCCTGTCCTCCCTCTCCTCGCTTCTCGTCTCGTTCGAGGTAGAGGGAGACGTTCCATGCATGCTTCATCACTCTTGAGCCTTGTGGCACCAGCTTGCCATCCACTGGTGTCTTTTTCTCTTTCATTACACATCATGTAACACGCGCCATCCTCAGCGAGCCACGTCTTCCAGGAAGCGCAGGCTAGAGACGCAGCTCTGAATGAGCACAGAGCAGTCGAAGTCGGGGATGCGCTCGAGGAGAGAAAGAGCTTTTCGCAGCAGAGGCTTCGCCTGCTCGTAGAGGCCGGCGAGCATCACGAGCTCTCCTGCGGTCTTGTAGATCACCGCGATGGTTCCGAGGTCAGCCTTGAAGGGAGCAACGGGCGTCGCCTGATCAAGCTTCAGCTCGCAGATCCGAACGTCGCAGCGCTCGATGACGGGCACGTATCTCCGGCATTTGCTGTTGAGAGCCGCGATCCCGATGTTGCTGCCTCCTTCAGTCCACAGCTCCTTGAGCTGGTTCAGCAGCCGCCACACGGTGTCGGGATGAAACGCGTCCTTGCAGGCCTCCAGCTCGAGGGCCTCCAGCAGCAGAGGCTCTGCCTCCTCCCTCCTGTCCTGCGCTACCAGAATGCGCCCGAGGACTCCCAGGGCGTTGGCGGTGAGCGGGGAGGAGTCGCCGACGGTCTTCCTGAAGATGCTGACCGCGTCTCTGATGTGACTCTGCGCCTCCTTGAGCTCCCCCAGCAGCTCGTGACATTGACCGACTGACATGTGAGCCTTGGCGATGAGCGACGTCGCGTCCTCTGACTTGTACTCCGCCTTGTAGCTGTCCAGAGCCTCCTGCAGGATAGGAAGAGCCTCTCTCGGGTTCCCCTGTCGCTCCTTCACCAACCCGAGACCAAGCAGGATGCCTCCTTTCTTGCCGTAGGACCCTTGACCCAACAGCTCCATCGCCTTGCTGAAGTAGCTCGCTGCGTTGTCGTAGTCGCCGATGCTGTTGTAAGTGTGCGCCATGTTCTCATAAAGTGCCGAGCTTGGGCCGACCAAGTTTGCTTGCTCGTGGAAGAGCTCGAGCGCTTCTTTGAACCTGTACTGCTTGAAGTAGCAGAAGGCTCTGCTCTGAATCGCCTTGATGTAGAACTTTCCTCCCCTCGACTTGCACAGGCTCATGATCTCATCCAACACTTCATTCGTATCGTTCAGCTTGTATCGCCCGATGTAGCAGCTGACAAGTCGCAGCGCCTTCATCAGCGTCTTGTCATGGTCTAGACCGAGCTTCTTGACAGCCTCCTGGTATTTCCTCTTGTAGTCCTGCTCCCTGCTGTCCTCCTCCTCTGCATCTGACTCATCACCCGATGCTCTCTCCTCCCCGGAAGACATGCCATCCTCAGCATCCTTAGCATCCGCTACCTTCACATCCTCAGCATCCTTAGCATCCGCTACCTTCACATCCTCAGCATCCTTAGCATCCGCTACCTTCACATCCTCAGCATCCTTAGCATCCGCTACCTTCACATCCTCAGCATCCTTAGCATCCGCTACCTTCACATCCTCAGCATCCTTAGCATCCGCTACCTTCACATCCTCAGCATCCGCTACCTTCACATCCTCTCTCTCCTTCATGCTCAGCCCCAGCATCCCTTCCCCCGCTGCATCGACCGGCTCCCGCCCGTCCTGCATGACAGTGACGGCAGCTGGTTGTCCTGCTTCCAGAGAGTTTTACTCAAAAGATACTTTGAGTACAAACTTTAATCAATTCAAGTTCACCTCAGATAATTTCTACTATATTGTGCAGGACAGCAAATAGATGTCCGAGACTGGACCAAGACAGAACACGAGGATCTGAGCGGGGATGAGGACACTTTTTTCTGCCATGTCGGCAGTCGAACAAAGCGACATGGGAGTAGGAGCAGGAGAGCGGGCCGATGGCAGGAATGGAGAACCTTCAGTGGGTCAAGCTCCTCAAGCTACTCTCCCTAACCAAGCTCCCCTCTCACATCCCCCTCCTCTGCAAGCTCCACCTCTTCCACTCTCCGGCCATGATGAAATTCATGCCCCTACCCCTCCATCCTTTCCTCCGCCCTTCCCTTTGAATGCACCTTCCTCGCATCCCCTGGCTCCAGCGGTCCCTCATCCTCCAAGCTCTGCCCCGCCTCCTAGAGCGATTCCCGTGCAAGCCCATCCTCTTCATTCCATGCAGGCCACGGCTCCGCAACCTCCTCCCCGGTTGCCTCCGAAGCAGAGCTTTCAGCCGTCAGCACCGCAGGATTCGATCAACCCTCAGGCGCCTGCACCTCCTGGACGAGACGCTCAGGAGTCAGAGAGGCAGGAAAAGAAGCAGACAGGAGGGCTGGGAGGAGGGCCGCTGGCTCGAGCTGGACCTGCAGGACTCTTCGACGAGGCTCCTCGCGTGCACACCAGCTCCCCGATCGCCAAGAGCGTCAAGGAGCAGCAGCCTCTCGCTCCTCCTCGTTCTACTCCCCTCACCCCCTCACCTCCTTCAGGAGCCCCGACTGCACAGATTCCTCTTCCTGCTCCTCCTACCCATCCCCTGGCTCCTCCTCCTACCCATCCCCTCGCTCCTCCTCCTACCCATCCTCTCGCTCCTCCTCCTACCCATCCTCTTGCTCCTCCTGCGTCCCATCCTCTCGCTGCGCCAGCCATTCATCAAGTTGCTCGTGACGGTAAATCTGAGGGAGGGAGGGAAGGAGAGGTGAAGCGATCAGCAGATGTCGGTCGAGGGGAGGAAGGAGGAGGCGTAGGAGGAGGAGGCGAAGGAGGAGGAGGCGAGCAGGTTGCGGTGGATCCGGAGGTGCAAGCGGAGCAGGTGAGCCACTTGCGTCTTCAGCTGCTGCTCAGCCTCATCCTCTCAGTTCCTCGGGCGTCAAGTCAACAGGCCGACACCAAGACGGGTCACTTGCTCCACCCCCACACCTCCTCCACCCCCACATGATCATCCTTTACCCCTTCTCCCCCTTCTCTCCACCCCACCATTCCACTCTCATGCCATCACCCCACCTTCCTTCTCTCCTCCCCCTCCTCTCCTTTCTTTTTCATCTCCCCCACCTTCTATTCTCCTCCTTTCCTCTTTCGTGAGTTTCAGCTGCTTCCTCCTCGAATGTTCTCAGCTGATATTCGCAGCGATCTCTCTATCTCCTTGCTCCTCCTCCCCCTGAGTGTCGCTTCCTTCCACGCTGACATCGTTTCCTCTCCAGGCCTCTGCGACTCTTTCGGGACTGGCTGAACTTGCGAGGGCAGGACAATGGCGGTTGCTGCTGTCAGTTTGCTGTCTCTTCCTCAGCTCTCACTGAATGACTGCTAGCTCGACCTCTGCCGAGATGCTCTCACCAAAGGCAGGAGAGAAGGCAACGCTCCCCTCTCCTCTCCTCTCCTCCCCCTCTCCTCCCCTTCGCTGCCTCTCCTCCGCTCTCCTCTCCCTGGCCCTCCCCCTCTCCTCTCCTCCCTCCTTTCCTAACTTCATGACTTTTCAGCTTTCGCGGCAATATCGGTTTCAAATAGCAGGTCTGTTTTCATCTTCGAGCTTTTGAACTCTTCTTTCCTTCTTTGTCTTTCTCCTTCTTTTGCGATTTTTGACTTCTGTCCTTTCTACTTCCTCCAACTCTTCTTCCCTCCCCTCCCCTTCTCTTCTCTTCTCTTCTCTTCTCTCTTCCTGTCGCTGACGCAGAACTCAGCTTATCGAATTGCTGCACATCTGCAGACACGATCAGTCAGGTACTCCCTATCGTTCCCTTCTCTCCCTTCCTCTTTCCCTTCCCTCTCCTGCTCCTTCATCTTCCCTCCTCCCTCTGCCCCTCTTGTCTTGTCTCACGTTCTTCTCTTCCTCCCTCCCTCTATCATCAGAGCTGCCATGGATGAGCTTTCGCGTTTGGGTCCTCTAGGCGATCCCATGCTGGTGATCCCCCTGCCTCCCTTCCCCACCTCTTGCACCACTCCACCCCTCTCCTTCCTCTCCTCCTCCTCTGCCCCTCCTTTCCCCCTCTTCTCTCCCTTGCCCTGCACCTCCCTCTCCCATGGCCGTCCGGTCCTCCTTGTCCCCATCATGCCTATGTCTCCTTTCCCTCCTCCCCCTCGTCTGCATCAGCAGCAGCGACGACAACTATAACAACGTCATCAACGAACAAAGTGTCTTTCCTGAGACTTTTCTTCACTTCACATTACCCTCATATGTCTTCTTTGCACGTCTTTGTCTTCATAACATTTGAAATTTTGATCTTGCTCATCGTCAAGCAGGCTGAGCATCCGCCATTCATCATGTACATCCTTGAGGTTCTTGTGCCCCTCCCCTCCTCCCTACCATCTTGATCCCTCCTCCTCCTCCTCCTCCTCCT